GGTAGGTCTTACACAGGGATGTGTAATGTCACCATGGTTGTTTAATATATTTATAGATGGGGTTGTAAAAGAAGTAAATGCTAGGGTGTTCAGGAGAGGGGTGGGATTAAATTATGGGGAATCAAATACAAAATGGGAATTGACACAGTTGCTTTTTGCCGATGATACTGTGCTTATGGGAGATTCTAAAGAAAAATTGCAAAGGTTAGTGGATGAGTTTGGGAGTGTGTGTAAAGGTAGAAAGTTGAAAGTGAACATAGAAAAGAGTAAGGTGATGAGGGTATCAAATTATTTAGATAAAGAAAAATTGGATATCAAATTGGGAAGGAGGAGTATGAAAGAAGTGAATGTTTTCAGATATTTGGGAGTTGACGTGTCAGCGGATGGATTTATGAGGGATGAGGTTAATCATAGAATTGATGAGGGAAAAAAGGTGAGTGGTGCATTGAGGTATATGTGGAGACAAAAAAAAGTTATCTGTGGAGGCAAAGAAGGGAATGTATGAAAGTATAGTAGTACCAACTCTCTTATATGGGTGTGAAGCTTGGGTTGTGAATGCAGCAGCGAGGAAGCGGTTGGAGGCAGTGGAGATGTCCTGTCTAAGGGCAATGTATGGTGTAAATATTATGCAGAAAATTCGGAGTGTAGAAATTAGGAGAAGGTGTGGAGTTAATAAAAGTATTAGTCAGAGGGCTGAAGAGGGGGTTGTTGAGGTGGTTTGGTCATTTAGAGAGAATGGATCAAAGTAGAATGACATGGAGAGCATTTAAATCTGTAGGGAAAGGAAGGCAGGGTAGGGGTCATCCTCGAAAAGGTTGGAAGGAAGGAGTAAGGGAAGTTTTGTGGGTAAGGGGCTTGGACTTCCAGCAGGCGTGCATGAGCGTGTTCGATAGGAGTGAATGGAGACGAATGGTATTTGGGACCTGACGATCTGTTGGACTGTGAGCAGGGTAATATTTAGTGAAGGGATTCAGTGAAACTGGTTATTTTTATATAGCCGGACTTGAGTCCTGGAAATGGGAGGTACAATGCCTGCACTCTAAAGGAGGGGTTTCAGGATATTAGCAGTTTGGAGGGATATGTTGTGTCTCTTTATACGTATATGCTTCTAAACTGTTGTGTTCTGAGCACCTCTGCAAAAACAGTGATTATGTGTAAGTGAGGTGAAAGTGTTGAATGATGATAAAAGTATTTTCTTTTTGGGGATTTTCTTTCTTTTTGGGTCACCCTGCCTTGGTGGGAGACGGCCGACCTGTTAAAAAAAATGTATGTGTGTGTTATATATATTATATATATATATATATATATATATATATATATATATATATATATATATATATATATATATATATATATATTATATATATATATGTATTTTTTTTTTTTTTTTTTTTTTTCAACAAGTCGGCCGTCTCCCACCGAGGCAGGGTGACCCAAAAAAGAAAGAAAATCCCCAAAAAGAAAATACTTTCATCATCATTCAACACTTTCACCACACTCGCACATTATCACTGTTTTTGCAGAGGTGCTCAGAATACAACAGTCTAGAAGCATAAACATATAAAGATACACAACATATCCCTCCAAACTGCCAATATCCCAAACCCCTCCTTTAAAGTGCAGGCATTGTACTTCCCATTTCCAGGACTCAAGTCCGACTATATGAAAATAACCGGTTTCCTGAATCCCTTCACTAAATATTACCCTGCTCACACTCCAACAGATCGTCAGGTCCCAAGTACCATTCGTCTCCATTCACTCCTATCTAACACGCTCACGCACGCTTGCTGGAAGTCCAAGCCCCTTACCACAAAAACCTCCTTTACCCCCTCTCTCCAACCCTTTCGAGGACGACCACTACCCCGCCTGCCTTCCCCTATAGATTTATATGCTTTCCATGTCATTCTACTGTGATCCATTCTCTCTAATGACCAAACCACCTCAACAAACCCCTCTTCTGCCTCTGACTAATACTTTTATTAACTCCACACCTTCTCCTAATTTCCACACTCCGAATTTTCTGCATAATATTTACACCACACATTGCCCTTAAACAGGACATCTCCGCTGCCTCCAACCGTCTCCTCGTGCTGCATTTACCACCAAAGCTTCACACCCATATAAGAGTGTTGGTACTACTATACTTTCATACATTCCCTTCTTGCCTCCATAGATAACGTTTTTTGACTCCCAATATACCTCAACGCACCACTCACCTTTTTTCCCTCATCAATTCTATGATTAACTCATCCTTCATAAATCCATCCGCCGACACGTCAACTCCCAAGTATCTGAAAACATTCACTTCTTCCATACTCCTCCTCCCCAATTTGATATCCAATTTTTCTTTATCTAAAATCATTTGACACCCTCATCACCTTACTCTTTTCTATGTTCACTTTCAACTTTCTACCTTTACACACATTCCCAAACTCATCCACTAACCTTTGCAATTTTTCTTTAGAATCTCCCATAAGCACAGTATCATCAGCAAAAAGTAACTGTGTCAATTCCCATTTTGAATTTGATTCCCCATAATTTTATCCACCCCTCTCCCAAACACCCTAGCATTTACTTCCTTACAACCCCATCTATAATATATTAAAACAACCATGGTGACATTACACATCCCTGTCTAAGACCTACTTTTACCGGGAAGTAGTCTCCCTCTCTTCTACACACCCTAACCTGAGCCTCACTATCCTCATAAAAACTCTTTACAGCATTTAATAACTTACCACCTATTCCATATACTTGCAACATCTGCCACATTGCTCCTCTATCCACTCTATCATATGCCTTTTCTAAATCCATAAATGCAATAAAAACTTCCCTATCTTTATCTAATACTGTTCACATATAGCTTCAATGTAAACACTGATCTACACATCCCTACCACTCTAAAACCTCCTTGCTCATCCGCAATCCTACATTCTGTCTTACCTCTAATTCTTTCAATTATAACCCTACCGTACACTTTTCCTGGTATATTCAGTAAGCTTATTCCTCTATAATTTTTTACAGTCTCTTTTGTCCCCTTTCCCTTTATATAAAGGGACTATACATGTCTCTGCCAATCCCTAGGTACCTTCCCCTCTTTCATACATTTATTAAACAAAAGTACCAACCACTCCAACACTATATCCCCCCCTGCTTTTAACATTTCTATCATGATCCATCAGTTCCAGCTGCTTTACCCCTTTCATTTTACGTTAATGCCTCACGTACCTCCCCACACTTACATTCTGCTCTTCTTCACTCTAAAAGATGGTATATCCTCCCTGACCAGTGCATGAAATTACTGCCTCTGTTTCTTCCTTAACATTTAAAAGTTCCTCAAAATATTCTCGCCATCTACCCAATACCTCCATCTCCCATCTACTAACTCCCCTACTCTGTTTTTAACTGACAAATCCATTATTTTCCCTAGGCTTTCTTAACTTGTTTAACTCACTCCAAAATTTTTTCTTATTTTCATTAAAATTTCTTGACAGTGCCTCTCCCACTCTATCATCTGCTCTCCTTTTGCACACTCTCACCACTCCTTTACCTTTCTTTTACTCTCCATATACTCTGCTCTTCTTATAACACTTCTGCTTTGTAAAACTCTCATAAGCTACCTTTTTCTCTTTTATCACACCCTTTACTTCATCATTCCACCAATCACTCTCTTTCCTCCTGCCCCACCCTCCTATAACCACAAACTTCTGCCCCACATTCTAATACTGCATTTTAAAACTATTCCAACCTCTTCAACCCCCCCACTACTCATCTTTGCACTAGCCCACCTTTCTGCCAATAGTCGCTTATATCTCACCCGAACTTCCTCCTCCCTTAGTTTATACACTTTCACCTCCCTCTTACTTCTTGTTGCCACCTTCCTGTTTTCCCATCTTACCTCTTACTCTAACTGTAGCTACAACTAAATAATGATCCGATATATCAGTTGCCCCTTATAAACATGGGACATCCTGGAGCCTACCCACAACCTTTTATCCACCAATACATTAAACTAATAAATACTTTCATTACGTGCTAATCATACCTTTTATATTTATTTAATCTCTTTTCATAAAATATGTATTACTTATTCCCAAATTTCTTTCTCACATAGCTCAATTAAAGGCTCCCCATTTACATTTACCCTGGCACCCAATTTACCACTACTCCCTCCATAACATTTTTACCCTTTAGCATTAAAATCCCCAACCACCATTACTCTCACACTTGATTCAAAACTCCCCACGCATTCATCAACTTTCCCCAAATCTCTCTCTTTCCTCAAACACTTCTCCTCTTAAAATATATAATATATATATAATAATTATATATATAATATAATTATATTTTAATTTTAATTTATTATATATAATAAAATTTATATATATTATATAAAATATATTATATATTATATATATATTTATATTTTAAATATTATATATTATATTATATATATATATATATATATATAATTATATATTATTATTATATATATATATATATATATATATATATTATATAATATTTATATTTATATATATTTTTGCCTTGTTTGAATCCATTTTTTTTATGGTTGAATGATTTTTGTATTGTCTTCAGTTGTTATTATTATTACATAGGGTGAGGACTAAACTCCATAGAGGTTATAAAGCTCTTGGGGAAATGAAAGGTATTCAGGCTGGATCCATGGCTAATTCCTTATATCAAGAACTCTTTCCCCATCATCAAGTAACCTCTCATGAGAGGTATATTAGTTTCATATTTTTATTTTTGCCATTCCATTTGTAATAGTTGCTGAGCCATTATAAACTTTTAATCAGTGTTTTTTTATTATGGAATGAAATTTTATTTCTGGTGTTGCAGAATTATTGCACATTTTGTTTGTATTTCACCCATATACTGTAATTTTTTATTCTATTTAATTACTTTGAAGTACATCTTAGATCAGAATACCATTATTAACTTTACATTAGAGCTTTTGTTGTTTGTGTACAATACAGGGTGCAGTAGGACGGCCAGGGCCCCCAGGACCTCCAGGGCCCCCAGGAATTGGGCAGAAAGGGGAACCTGGCCCTTCAGGATCTCCAGGGGGTGGCAGCAGTGGTGGCTTCCTCAATGGCATCCTAGTGAGTTACTTGGCATGCACACTTACTCTATAAAACTATTGTATCAACAGATTCTAAACTAATATAGAGGAGCTGTGAACTTTATGTAGTAAAATTTAGATTACCTGCAGGATACAGTTCCTCATCTTGGTATACAATGCAAATATTTTTCTTTTTCTTTTTCTGTTGTCGGTTGTGAGAGCAATTCATTTGTTCATTACCACTGGACTGAAGATTAAGCCTATGATTCACATAGGTTTATCTCTTCACATAATTATAATGATAACAACAGTTTCAATATGCATATTTTGGACTACTGCATCATCACCAAAGCTTATACATTGCTATCACCTTTTGCTAACTCTGAGTCAGGCATAGTAAATACAGTTCTTTGGGTTTTAACCCTTTGACTGTTTTCGACGTATAAATACGTCTTACGAGCCAATGTTTCTGACGTATATATACTCAATAATTCTAGCGGCTTCAAATCAAGTGGGAGAAAGCTGGTAGGCCCACATGTGAGAGAATGGGTCTGTGTGGTCAGTGTGCACCACATAAAAAAAATCCTGCAGCACACATTGCATAATGAGAAAAAAAAAACTGATCGTTTTTTTTGGAATAAAACGCCGACTTTGATGTGTATTTTCATATAGTATTTATCATTGTATTCGCGTTTTCATGGTCTTAGGTGATAAAATGGAAAACATATTACAGAAACAGAGATGATTTTCATTACTTTTACGATGAAAACGACCTTGAAACTGAGCTCAAAGTAGCGGAAATGTTCGATTTTTACCAATGTTCAAGAGTAAATAAATCACACCACACATCCAATACACATCAACTGGGGAGTCTAATATTCTTTCACTAGTGCACTGATATTATTTATACCATTTTTACAATAATGCAGTCGTCTGCATACAGTAAATTTTGTATTTTTTTGTATGAATAAAAAATCAAAATAGAAAGCAATAATAATATAAGAGGGGCCTAGAGATGTGACTAATGAACAGAGCATATGTTATTTTAGTGCCACGAATGTCTACTTTGTTTATTCTGGACCCTATTTTGAAATTGGCATCTTTTTTATTTTGCGTGAAATTGGCCAAATTGTCAATTTCTGACCACCATATTGGGTAGTCCAAATTAGTAAATGGGAGGTTTCTTGTACTCAGCTGATAGATAAAATGGAGTTCTAAAGAAATAGCTATGAGTTTGGTCAACTGGAACAATGGAATTGGCTGAAAATAGGGCTCAAAGTCGGCGAAATCGCCGATACGCATATGTCGCCGAGACTGCTAACTTCGCGGGAGCATAATTCCACGAGTTTTCGACCAAATTTCGAACTTTTGGTGTCATTACCATCGGGAAAAGATTCTCTATCATTTCATAAGAAAAAATAATTTTTTTTTTTTTTCAAAAATTGAGCGACATAGAATGACAGTTTCAGAGAGGGGCCTGAAACAGTCAAAGGGTTAAACAAACAGTACTAGAAAAGTTATAATCAGTGTAAAGCGTTTAGAGTATTATGTTGAAGTAGTAACCTTATATAAGTTCTCTAATGGACTATGGGTTGATAAGAGGAGTATAAGCATTGACTGTATTAGTATAATATGTTGAAAATCATACTAAGGTACAATATATACAGTACAGGTTGGCTATCACTAATCCGGCAATCAGTTATCCGCCTCCATCAGTAATCCGGCACTAATTTTGGCTAGCATAATTTCAAATTTTATCATCATACTGACTCAGATCATTATACCGACTCAAATTTCATTATTATACCAACTCAGAAATTGTGCAGATGGTTGTAAATCCACAGCAAGCCAGTGGAGAAGAAAGCGGTGATAAAAATGAGAAAGATGTAGCAGAAAGTCTCTCTATTGATAGGTTAATTAAGTGTATTCTAACCTAACCACTCTGTAATCTGGCAAACTCACTAATCTGACACACTACAGGTCCCAATGATGCCAGATTAGTGATAGCCAACCTGTAGTAATAATACATAGTATGTCAGTCATGTAATGTTCAATAAATGCTGTTAACACATTTTTTAATAAATATTGTTAAATGCGTTTATAATTGACAACATATTGGACTGCATATTTCTGATAAAAAGCAATGTTTTGGTAATATAATACAGATGCTCAAGAGTTTTTGCTGGCTAAGGTATATACATGTACTCCCTTGCTTCATTTTCCTTTGCCCATCAGCTCTGTAACAAAAGTTTTGTGATAAGTGACAAAATGTGACATTTTCTCTGGTTATCAGAGCCTTTAATATGGAATTATTCTTCTGTTCCTTAGGGTGGTGGCAAGGCAGACACACTTGCAGTCCCAGGTCCACCAGGACCACCTGGACCACCAGGTGCAATTGGCCCACAGGGCCCTCCTGGTCCTCCTGGTCCATCTGGTAGATTGCATGAGGGTGAGAACCAGATGTACATTCCTGTACCAGGGCCACCGGGTCCACCTGGACCACCAGTAAGCAGAACCAGAATCTCTTTACTGCAATTGCATTTTGCACTGACATTTAAATTATTCAAATAAAACTAAATAAATATTGTATATAAATAGGCATACTATATAGCAGAAGTACAGGGTCTCCTCACTTTGTTGTTGGCTTTTTGTGAATCTGCTATTGTGCAATATACAATTTGCCATAATTTACTGTGTCAAAGAAACTATCTTTTCCCAAACAATACTTCTAGAAAATTTACCCAGTGTCTTGGAGGCCAAAGGTTAAGTTGGTCATAGGCCTCAGTCTAAGCCTAGAGAATCTAAGTTCCTGTTTATGACTTGAATAACATAAACAATCATAAATAATTGTAAAAATTTGTTAGAGCTTAGCTGCAGTAGGCTAAACTAAACCAGGCAATGGATTTGGATGGACTGTGGTAATATCAGTAGGCTAAGTCATATGTTTACTATCAAACCACCTGGTAATGATATTTTTACTCACCTCAAATGTTCCTGATATTAAGGAACATTATCAGATATAAAAAAGTAAAAGTGTGGTATGTTAAAAGGGGTTCAAATAATGATACATACTGATATACAGTAGTTTACACAAAAGCCCCCATTTGCATACCATCGGCTTGCTTTGGTCATTTAGCAATACAGATGTGTACTCTTATTAAATAGTAAAATCAATAAACTTAAAAACATAAACATAAAGTATTTTTAAAATACATGAAAAAACTATCACCAATCAATATGCAATCCTAGCCATAGACACATCCACTTGCATGCTTTGAGACAGTGACTCAGTGAGTAGAAAGAGAACACAACCAGTCAGATCCAAATCACTTGAGTGATAGTGTCCTTCAGATGTTCAGTTGAAGCTAAATTGAGTGACACTGAAAGAGACAAAAGTACTAACAAGCACAAGAAAACTGATGAACCATTCAGTATACAAAGATAATCAATGAAAATTAAGGACCCTCCATAGAAATCAAGGACCCCACTGGAAATAAGTCGCTTGTCTGACTTTTTTTGGGGTTATCCTAAGTAATTTATACATATGTTACTATGTTTGATAATTGTGTAACTGTATTTATGTGTACCTGTACCTAAATAAACTTACTAATATGAAAAACTAAGTGATGATGTAAGAACAGATGGAAATATGTCTTTGTTCATTGCTAAATATTATTCATTACCAGTAGTTGACCACTTAAGTTAATTGCAAAGAAGATTTTGCTGATAGTTCTGGATGTAACAACCTTTTAAACTCAGGATTAGAATTTAACAGATCTAGTATAATCGCCTGTATACTGGTGCATTTTTTAGCGCTGTTTCACGTAAATGTAGCACATTTTACCACGTTTATCTTTTTTTTTTTTTTTTTCAAAATTTAACCAGTCAGAATTGGGGGCAGGGGGCATTCTCGACACCAGAGCATGTTGTCTGCTATAAAATACAGTATATTGGTAATAATGTGTAGGTAATATACAGTCTCTGTAAGTGATTGGTGCAACTTGTAAAACAGTATTTAGAATGTTAGTGACCTGATTCAGCTTAGTACCAGCACAGCTGTTATGGTCCTGCAACATAATTACTTCATCAAACAAGAGATGCCTGTACTTTAAAATGTATTTCTGTAAAACATGTGTCATGTACAGTCACATTTGTATTATATACATTCTTATCTTACACAGGGTGTACCAGGTACTCCTGGACTATCCATTGAGGGCCCTCAGGGACCCCCAGGGGAGCCAGGCATGTCTAGACGAGGTCAACCTGGCAAGCCTGGACCTGCAGGCCTACCAGGTGGCACCATCCCTGGACCCAGAGGTGTGTCTGCAACACCTACATAAATCTGTTTTCCTGAACAGTATAGTAACTTTTATATGCATCATAGACAAGATTGCATTACATTCCTTTAAGAAAAATCTGGTGTTCTTCCTGCTCATGTGTAACTTTATTGTAATGCTGCATACTTATTATATGATGAACCTTTTTTTCTTTGCCTTTTTTCCCATAGTCTTTCACAGTGGTCTAAGATTACAGTATATCAGTAAGATAACTGTTCACTTTAAACCAGGATACAAACGATTTGTTAATTTTTACATGCGTATTTTTATTATTCAGTATTCAAAAAATTCACAAAATCTGTATTGGTCATGCAGCTTTGGCATATGCAGTGCCATAGTCCTGAAATCCTCTTCTACTTCTTGATTTATACCTTTCATATGACCACTTCCTTTAATTTCTTCACCTTATTCTCTGCATAATAGTCACTCATTGATTTCATGCACATCTCCACTGCATCCATCCTCTTCCTCCTCCTTACTGCAACACTCAAAGGCTGTACCTCAGATCCATACAAAAGTGTTGGCTCCACTGTACAGATATATTCCTCTGTTTGCATCCAGTGACATTTATTTTTCCACAGATTCTTCAACACTTCTGCTACCTTTACTGATTCCACAGACATACCTGCTGGCATAACTTCCAAGTACCTAAATGCATTAATTTCTTCTATATTTCTTTACTTCAATTTGATGTCAAATTTTTCATCATCTAGACAACTTCATCTTCCTCTTTTCTGTATTCACTTTCAAAATATAAAATATTAAAAACTTGTAACATTCCCCGGGATCTACGTTACCCCACAGAGGTTCATTTTGCAAGCTCACTTTGCAGCCAAAAATTAATTTTATTCGGTTCAGATTCCCATTTCTAAAGACTCTGTTAAATACTTATTTCTACTGTGAATATATTAAAAAGCTAGAAGACATGTGAAAGAGTAAGGATTAATGTGGACTACAATTGCAATAACACCAACAGATTAGTAGTCATAACTAAACCCAAAGTCAACACTGATAAAGGTTTGTAATTTCTTTGCAAACAATGTTCAGGTACAGTAGATCATTGGATAACATAAAATGAGGCATGCACCACAGTCTTGCCCCTCTGTCTCACAGTGAACCCAGGGTGAGTCCAGTGAGTCCAATGAACATACCCTCCCTTATCCGCTGCTTCATTTGTACACATCTAGTACCTCACTCAACTTGTGTTAGTAAATTGACTTTTGATCTTTTCATCATCCTATCTCATTTCTGGATAGTAACAGTGACCCAAGAGGAATGTGAGTGATCCTGGAATTGCAAAGAAGAATCTTGAAATTCTTTATTTTTTTTTTTTTTAAAGAAAATCAAGACATTAAACCCGTAAACGTTCCAAACGTATATGTATGTTTTTTCAACATTTGAAAGTATGTAAAAAAAGTAGACCTTCTTTTTGTTTTTTTACATTTGAAAATGTGTAAAAAACTTAGATCTACTTTTTTTTTTGTTATATTTGAAAATATGTAAAAAAAATGTAGATCTACTTTTGGAGCACTACACATGTGAACGTAGATCTGCTTGGACTGTTTATGGGTTAAATAGGCTTATGAGTGGTGAATGTATGATGGAGATGACATGAGCCTAAGGCATTAATAAGGGATCAGTTTGTACTATTAAAGAGATTGAAGCAAAGATACGGGCTTGTGGAATGAGTAACTCAAGTTGTAACCTGAAATGAATGACAAATAGGTCAGAAAAGGTAAATAAGACAGAAAAGCTAAGTGATTGAGTGAGTGAATTGATCAAAGTACTCTAAAACAGTGTGTGATGAGGAAAGAAGGTCTGAATAAGAATGCTTGTTTAGTATAAATTCAAACCGCACAATCTGTTGCATAATATTAAGTTTTCCAGTGAAAGTACTTCTGTTAATCACACTGCTGCAGGTGATTTCCCTTCTAAGTTACAGGACATTATTTCTGAGGGTGGCTAAAAGCTACATTAAATGTTGAATGCTGACTAGATAAGTCTTGATTGGAAGAAGTGCATGGAACCTAGTACCCCAGTCAACATTAAATGCAGGCTAGTAAAAGTATGGTCTAGTGTGGTAAATGCTTTCACAGGTTTTCCTCCAGTTGAGAGCCAAGTGCAGGAAATTGTTCAGCTGGCTAGGAGTTTGCCAGGTGAGAGCTATGAAGATATGCAATAAGATGATGTGAATGAACTGTTAAATGAAGATGATGATAATAATATTAATAATAATATCTTTATTTACTGCAAGTACATGTACATGGTATACAGGCCTAGCTGAAAATGATATACTACTATATAGAAAGCCCCTTGTTATGCTGAGCATTTCGGGCAAATTAGGTTAGTTTTGTCCTAGGATGCGACCCACACCAGTTGACTAACACCCACGTACCTATTTTAAACTGATGGGTGAACGGGACAGCAGGTACCGGAGGAGATTCGAACTCCGGACCTCAGTGTGAGTGCACTGAGTGAGCTGAGTGCACCGAGGAAATGTTGGCAGAGCTCAGTGCCTAGATACAATGGAGGCATTACCACCATTACTTTTTCTTCCTCTCTTTGTCTTGTCCCTCTCCCCCTTGCCTGTATATACTGGTTCCTTCACTCTTTGTGTGCTAGTGTGACTTGACTCACAAAAAATCGTAATGACATGATTGCAAACAAACCACACGATGGGAGGGGAGTTCATGGGGATTGAACTCGCAGTGAGCGAGTCGTAAAACCCCAGACCGACATGTTAGCCACTGAATGACTCTCCCGCCAGCTGGCGAGAGATTCACTTGTGGTCACAGTGGTGCCTATGCTAACCTTCCTGTGGTGTATAAATATACCTAGTTGGATGAATCTTATTGTAGCCAGCTTGCCCAATGTCTAAAGGGTTACACAGCACTTTCCCAAGTGTTATGTAACCCTTATGATTTTAATGCTTCCCCATGAATATAACAATAATTAACCCCTAAACAGTCCAAACGTATATATACGTTCTTACTCGCAGCGCGCCAAACGTATACACGTATATACGTTTTAATTTTCCTGCCTCCAAATTTGGCACAAGTGCCCTGAGATGCCTGGTCAGCATAGAATGGGTCTTAACACTTGGTGTGCACCATATTAAAGAAATCTGCGACCACTTAGTACCTTGTGGGAGTGCCAGTTAAACTGAGCGCCAGCTGGAGCAAACAGTGTGGCAAACACCAAGGATTCACTGATGTAATGTCATATTAACACTCCCCTTTTAAGAGGAAAGTGATGTTAATCTCAAGTTAAGGGTCTGTCTATCTCTGTCTCACTGGTACACATAAATACAAGTATACATAGTGTAAATTACCTAGGATAACCCAAAATATCCAGACAAAGTGCTATACTCTGCTTGAAGATGTGAGTAAACATGATGACGCTGTCTTGTGGCTCTCTCTGAGACAGAGAGCTAGACAGATAGACAGGGAGCCTGACAGACAAACATGTTTGTGTACCATCAAAAAACAAATGCATCATCTATGCTCATCACATGTCACACTAATCTTTCTTATCAACTGACCGTCGGTGTTATGTCTATCTAAACATCCAGCTCTTATCCATTTTCTCTCAGGGGTCGACTCTCTCTATCCTCTTTTACGTATCTCTTTATCCTCCCCTCCCTCCTCTCCCTCCCCTCCCTCCCTCCCCTCCCTTCCCTCCCCCTCCCTCCCTCCCTCCCTCCCTCCCTCCCTCCTCCCTCCCCTCCCCTCCCTTTCCTCCCCTCCCTCCCCTCCCCCCTCCCTCCCTCCCTCCCCCCTCCCTTCCTCCTTCATTCATTCATTCGTCATCTCCAAAACATTGCTGGGACCTATAAATACTACTTGTATATATTCCAAGACAATAGTAAATGGCTATGGTAGGTGTAAATGTCCACCTGTCAGTGTGTTTGTGACAATTTGAATACAATTTCAGTACCTAATACTAGTGTCAGAACAAAGATTGGTTATGAAATGACAAGAACTACTATAAGTTGTAATTATCAGAACACTTCTGCAAGCGGTAGGACTCGATGTTGCTGTCACATGAGCATCCAGTGCCAACTTCTCAGCCTCATATCTCTGTAAGTATTGACCCTAATTTTCTTTTTTTTATCCTTTAACACTTAGAAAAATGTGCTCTTTATTTTCATTAAAAAAATGATTTTTTTTATTTTTCAAAATATTTGGGGCACTGTGCAAGAGAACATATATATACGTTTGGACCGTTTAAGGATTGAAGAGGACCTCTCAATATTTTCTTCCTTGTATTCTTCGTTCCACCAAGATAACTCTAAATTATCATCAATCCTATCGTTTTCTTTACTTCTGATATTGACAGTCTTCATCCTTCTCATTATGCCTTTAATATTTCAACATATAGAGCATTTAAAACTACCAGATTTCTTCCTCCATCTACAAAGCTTTGCATTTTAACAGATAAATTATAATTTTCTGATCTATGATCTACAGACCAAATGAAGCTACAGTGGTACCTTGACTTACGAGTTTAATTCATTCCATGACCAAGCTCGTAACTCAGTTTGCTCGTACAATATCAAATCAGTTTTCCTCACTGAAATTAACTGAAATGCCATAATCCATTCCAGCGTAATTTCTGGCTCTCGAGAGGCAGGAGATACTAATACTACTTCAACATAACGCTAATATCAACTCTACGGCTTATTTACCTATCACAACTGATCTAATATTTTTATTTATTTTATTTATTTAGTAATTTAAGCATACATACAGAGGTACAAAAAATACAGGTAAGAGCAGCATGCCAAAGCCACTTATATGCATAGCATTACGGGCTGGCTTAAAATTAACTTAAGATTAACTAAGCAATGATGAAATCAGTGATAAAACATTATTGTAAACGGATAACTATAAAGCACAAATGAGTATTACAAAGACAGGTCATATGGTTGCTTGCATTGCTGTACATTCAGTCGAATGGAGAGTATTCTGTTAGGTAGTGTATTTAAACAAATAATAAAGTTAGATTGGGTCCTAGGTTTAACATTTGTGTGATATAATTGTGACATAATAAACAATATAAATAACATAGAAATAGGATATATACTCTTGAATGAATAAAATGTCATTATGTGACGAGTGGTGGCAGCCACTTCCGGGGTAAAAATAATTATCATCCTGACAGTATCTTCCCATTCTTGCCCTTCTGAGGTTTTATTATAAGAGAAAAATGGAGTGTTTATGAGGCTAACTGCACTAGATCACTAGTTTCATAAGGAAAACACTGAAACAAAAGTGATTTTCTTGTGTTTTTCTATGATTTCATCCTTTAATTCAATGGACATCATCATCCTCTTCTTCTCAGCACTGTCCTTTGCACTTACTTTCTTAGGACCCATGGTTAGAAAAAAGAAATTTGGCAAAAAACTGCACAAAATGCTGGGATGCTGGATGGATGTTGTGGTGTTTGCTGCGTTAACTAGTGGCGGTGTATCTGAAGTTCGCTTGTAACTCAGATTTTGGCTCGCAACTTAACCCTTTGACTGTCGAAAGGCCCAATCCTGAAGTGTCTCCTGGTGTCGCAAAATATTCGAAAAAAAAAAAAAATCTTTTTTCTTATGAAAATGTTAAGATTATTTTTCTGATTGTTTTAGTCCCCCCAAAAAATTTTTCCATCAGTACTTACCAAGATATAGAGTCCTGAAGTTTGCTGAAATTGATCTGCGAGCGGCAACAGCGGCAACTGCCGCTCACCCGGTAAACTTTGATTTACTTGTATTGGTGGTTTCTTGTTTTTTTCACTAATTTATTTTTCACATAACTTTTGTGGCCTGTGAGACCAAATTATTGTGCAATGTTCAAATATACACTCGTTGAATGTAACACAAATATGGCAAAAACACTCGTATCATTATAATGTTGCTAAAACTTGTTTACACAAACAAACAATGTAAACAAATGTTTATTGTGATTGTTCTATAATATATATACATATGTACAATCACTGGACACTTTTCTAGAAGTGCTGCAGCTTGTGGAATTCTTTGAAACATGGGTATAATCACAATGGTGTCTTACACTCCTCACACATAAAACGAGTGTCTCTGCGTTTTTGTGGGCGTTTTGTGGTATGTCCACAGACAAAATACCTCTTCTGAGCATTTTTCTTGGCAGTAATAGCAGGCAGTGGTATGGGGTAGTGATCACCAGGCCTCAGATGAGAGGACATGTGTTGGTAATTTCGTGGGAGCTGGTCCATTGCAGGTGTTGTTTCTTGGTACTTGAATATTATTTGTCTGATGACTGACAAACAAAATTCACCATATTTGGGTTTCTTCTTGGTCTTCAACTTATACATATTATAAGCATTCAGCATGGAAATGTCAAGAAGATGGAAAAACAGTTTTATGTACCACTTATAACTCTTGCAAACACAGTCAGCAAACCCAATCTGCATGTCACATTTGTCCACTAAGCACATATTGAGGTTGTAATCCATCACAGCTGCAGGTTTTACAATGGGTTCATTGGTCTCTCTATTCTGCTTGCCAGTGTCTACCATTTCATGTCAGTGAACTGATGTCAGCAGTGTGACATCACGTTTGTCATGCCACCGAAATGCCATGATGTCATTGGCAGCAAACACCTGCACTTCACCTCTACGACTGCCAGCATCGAACCTAGGCATGTGTTTACGATTTCCACGCACTGTGCCACACACATCTGTCATGTTCACTCGCAAGAAATCACTGAGTATAGGGCTTGTGTACCAGTTGTCAGTATATAAAATATGCCCCTTACCAAGATATGGCTCCATCATTGTTCTAACGACATCACCAGAGATACCCAGTAACTTTCTGGTATCTTCCAATGTTTTACCGCCAGTGTACACAATTATATCCAAAACCAGACCAGTTTTGCAATCACACAGAACAAATAACTTTATACCAAAGCTTTTCCTCTTGCTTGGTATATACTGCTTGAATGAGAGTCTTCCTCTGAACAAAATCAAAGACTCATCAATAACAAGCTTCCTGAAGGGATAAAAATACATACAGCACTTTTGTTTCAGGTACATAAACACACGTCTGATCTTATATAACCTGTCGCTTCTGTCAGGCCTTGTTTTGTCTGAAAAGTGTAACATACGTAACAGTAACACAAATCTATTCACTGGTATAATGTCACTGAAAGCAGGGGTTGAAATCAGGCAGTCTGTCGCCCAGTATGTGTTGACACTATGCTTATACACATGTGGCATAAGCATTATTGTGGCAAAGAACAGAAACATCTCTGCCACAGTTGTGTCCTTCCACTGGTGTAGGCGTGATCTTGGTGACAGAATAGTGTTTGCCATGGTGTACTCATAGTATGTATTGCTTTCCCTGACAATAATGTCCATCAGGGGTTCATCGAAGAATAACTGAAAGCATTCCAGTTCAGTGGGATTGTTCCCAAGTGTACATGATGGCCGTATTCCACTTTGTCCTCCATCAAAGTCATGGGGATTGGGAACAAACTCGTCATCTTGCTGCCAATCCCAGATGCGGTCAGCTGGTGCGTTCTGGATATTGTAATGTGGTTGTGGTTGTGGTTGTTGTGGGAGTGTGGGGTCAGGTGAGGCTGGCTGTAGTTGTGCAGAGTCAGCAGCGCAGGTAGTAGCATGGCCTGCTGCTGGTGTAACATAACTCATGCCACCATCACTATCACCACCACCGCCTGCTGCCTCACTTGCATCATTGATATCCATCATAACAATATCGTCATCTTCACTATCAGGACGTGGTGTAGGGCCACGGGATGTGCTCCGAGATGTACTCCTTCCTCTTGGAAGAGCATATGGTACACTACCAGACCGCATGTGACGTCGTATATACTGCTGCTTCACTGGGGAATATTCACCCTCACTGTCACAACTAGAACTGCTTTCAATAACCTTGAAATCACTATCACTTTCACTGCTCACATCTGAGTCTTGTACATGGGCAAATAGTTTCTTCTTTCGTCCTGGTACAGGTGAACATGAACGAGCCGGCCCAGCACCAGAGGTGGAAGGTTGTGGGTCATCTGGGTTTTCATCACTAATTATGTTATCCTGGGCACTTTTTTCAGTCACACCCGCTTCAAAACCAGGGAATTCACTTTCACTGACACTTTCATCACTGTTTGAGCTATCACTTGGGAACAAAAGACCTCCAATCCGCCGAGGAGTGAGGAACTTCTTACTGCGAGGCATGGTGAAAATGGACTACCAAGATGCCATTCCCACAATGCACCGCTGAGTCCCAGATTTTTTTTCACAGGGTGCACACTGACCACTGAGACCCATTCTCTCTCATGTAGGCCTACCAGCCCTCTCCCGCTTGATTTGAAGCCGCTAGAATTTATGCGTATAGATACGTCAAACACAGTATCTCCCATGATGTATATATACGACCGCGACAGTCAAGGGGTTAAAGCAAACAATTGACCGAGTGATGGCTCGCAACTCAGAAAATTCGTAAGTTGGGGCACTCATAAGTCAAGGTACCACTGTATTTCCATTATACTTTCCATTAATTATAGGATTATATCCCTCACCCTACACTAACTAAAGACATCTTCCCACTACCCAAGGGGTCTTGATTCATCCCTCTTTCTCAGGCATTATTTAACACCTCCCAATAAGAACTGGGCAGCATTTTCTTTCTTACCCCCAGCATGCATACTAACACACTGTGGATTTTTTTCCTTTCCACAAGCGGCCTCAGGCAGCCTTGGAGGCATCGCTGAGCTTCGCCGGCGGATCTCTGGCCGCCGCAGAAATCGAGGTGCTACGACATCTTTTATCAGAATCCTTCAATTTTGTTATCTACTCTTCTTGAAATATGCATGTGATAAATTCTGAATTTCTTTCAGTGAACTGATTATAACTTGACTATCGTTCTGAGTGTTACCCTTATATGTATGCATGATGCATTTTTATGTGTGTACTTATGTAAAAATGTGATTTTCTTTACTCGTTGGAAACAATTACTCGCCTTAATGGAAAGTAAGGAACTTGCAGAGTTATCACCTGTATCACACACAGCCAATTGTAATGGTTTCTTTATATCACATTCCCATAAATGTATTTAGTACATATCTTTTTATTGCATTTACATTAATAATTTTGGTGAAAAATTTGTCATCAAACTTAGTTTCTACAATATTTTAATGTGTAAAAGCCACCTATGCCACCAAAACTTTCTTTTAAATACTTCTTCAGTAGTTTTGGCTCATTCTACTTAAAAAACATGTACAAGTTACTGATTAACTTCCGGTGATCAGTTTTTGCTAGATTCTTGAATCGAAGGCTTGGAGAATGTTGAAAACACTACAACAGACTGGTAAAATTTATTTTTTTTCACAATGCCTCAAAAAACTTTGCATTGGGAAACAAGCAACTCTGGAAGAGCATAACACTGTGGGGCACCTTTACCTGACTTAAGATACCATGCTTACTGTGTATACTGCATCACAGGCCCTCCTGGTCCACCGGGTCCACCTGGCCGGCCTGCTGAAGGAGGGCGGAGTGGGGCTTCCCACAGGATTGTGCCTGGAGCTGTCACCTTCCCTGACAGAGATGCAATGCTCAAGGTTTGGTGACTTGGTTCTCTCTATGGCCTCTAGTATGTCTTTAACATCTGTCATAATTAACCATGTCAAAAAAAAAATTCTTAATAATTTGTCCTTTTTTAGAATACAGCACACAAAGGTTTTTCTTGTTTTATGCCTATTCACTATCATGCAAATTCAATCTAATGGAAAATCCCATTTCTGTTGCTAATTCACCACATGCTTAATGTACAGTACCACCAGTGTGGTACTTAAGCGTATTAAAGATTCTTATAATGCAGAATAAATAATTTATGGCTTGAATGAAGTAATTTTAGCTTCCATTGACCTGGAATGTATCTGCACCATAAAACAAGAGACACCTGGAACTATTTCCTAGTTTATGTAATAGTTTTTAATGAGGCTATTCATTGTGCCATAAGCTGCAGTCCTCCTCAGAAATGAATGAGGAGTAGGGTATTCAGGAGATCAACTAGTGGGAGTGAATTCCTTGACATAGTAGCATCATATATAACAGTAAATGGAAAGATGAAAGTTAATACAGTATGTAGTATTTTATTATCGGCGGTGAAACGTCAGTCCAGAACTGAAGCTCAACTACGAGCTTTTTAACCGCAACAACACTAATATACGCTATTGGAGCTGGAATTACCGCGGCTGCTGGCACCAGACTTGCCCTCCAATTGATCCTCGTTATAGGAATTAAAGTGTACTCATTCCGATTGCGAGGCCTCGGATGAGTCTCACATCGTTATTTTTCGTCACGATGTGAGACTCATCCGAGGCCTCGCAATCGGAATGAGTACACTTTAATTCCTATAACGAGGATCAATTGGAGGGCAAGTCTGGTGCCAGCAGCCGCGGTAATTCCAGCTCCAATAGCGTATATTAGTGTTGTTGCGGTTAAAAAGCTCGTAGTTGAGCTTCAGTTCTGGACTGACGTTTCACCGCCGATAATAAAATACTACATACTGTATTAACTTTCATGTAAATAGTGTGCTGAAAATATCTAGCCTAGACAGGACTCGCAGCAATGGTTTTAAGTTGGAAAAATTCAGATTCAGGAGGGATATAGGAAAGTACTGGTTTGGTAATAGAGTTGTGGATGAGTGGAACAAACTCCCAAGTACCGTTATAGAGGCCAGAACGTTGTGTAGCTTTAAAAATAGGTTGGATAAATACATGAGTAGATGTGGGTGGGTGTGAGTTAGACCTGATAGCTTGTGCTAACAGGTCGGTTGCCGTGTTCCTCCCTTAACTCAATGTGACCTGACCTGACTAGGTTGGGTGCATTGGCTTAAGCCGGTAGGGACTTGGACCTGCCTCGCATGGGCCAGTAGGCCTTCTGCAGTGTTCCTTCGTTCTTATGTTCTTATGTTCTTATTATCTAAGGTAACTAAGCTCCTAGAAAATACTACTCACTACTGCTGCTCAATGTATTGTTTGCAAACAATATCTCATTTTGTGAATTATAGGTTTAGAGACCAATGTGATGTTCATCTCTTTTTTTCTTAAATACTCGAACAATTCAAATTAATACTGTATTGAATATTTTTATGTATTGAAACCCTTTATGATCTAAATGATTTATCATTTATGACAGTGTAGACATATTGTGATAGAGAAAAAGGCTTGTGTAAATAACTAATGTTGTGGTAATTTTATCAGATGAGCTCAGTGTCACCTGTGGGTACATTGGCCTTTGTGGTGGAGGAGGAGGCATTGCTGGTACGGGTGGGTGCTGGTTGGCAGTATGTGGCAGTAAGTTTAGTCTTTTGTCGTTGAAACTAAAGACAACACTGTTATTTGAATGACTGCATTTTCTTGTTCACACAACATTTTTAGCCTTTCATCAAATCCATGTACGTACTTAGTATTTTAATACTGATCATGATACCTGTATACATGTCTTTTTTAAAAGCTTTCTCTTTCTTTCTTTGTCCCTTCTTTTCCATAAGCGAGTGTGAAGTAAGGAGAAACAAATCCCCATTACACCATTCATGTACAGGTATATCCTTAACTCAAATTACATAATTGCACTGAACCATTACCAGGAGGGACTTTAGTGGCAATTTCTTTACCTGGAGGTATTTTCTCACAGTGGGGCCAAACACACCATAAAACCAGTCCAAGAAAAACTCCCTAGTGACCCATGCCTTACTGTTTGATCTCCACAGCTGTTGCAACCCCTGAATGGGTTACAATGATTATTATGTATATATATAATTATTACCTTTTCATTTAATTTTATATTGCTTATATTTGCGATAATAGCTAAATTGTAAATGTATTGCTTTATATTGTTATTTGACTTGTTAGGTAGGATGTAACATATTATGTGCTCAGTTCAAGTCTTGATTGTTTAACTACTGTAATTATCGCTCTTTGCTCGTTAGACTGCCGGCTTCTGAGCTGCAGTTGTCCATGGAGCTATCACGTGAAAGAGGGGGGGGTGTCCTCACCTCGCCTAAAGTATTCAGTCTGTTCTAGACTCTCTTGGTGGTTGGACAGATTGTTTGTCTCATTATTCTTGTTAGTTCTGTAGAACTCTGTTCACAGAACATTGTATAGACTTAGTGATTTTCGACGTTGTACTGAGGTTGTGTGTCACATAGACACTCGAAACATCTCAGGTCCTGAGCTGTTGCTTCTCACTTAATTTGTACTGGTATTTGTGTATTATCACAGTCGGGGATTTTCTTATGCTGAACTTAGATTCAGTAGTAGGGGAGTTTTGTGACTTTTGTGGAGGATCTGCAGATGGTCCCTACTTAGTGTCGTTATATTATCTCCTGTTCCTGATTCTGTGTCGCAGTTGCTTGTTATATTGCTATTGGGCTTAGCATTCTTTTTATTGTTCAAGCAGACTGTTCTGACTGCCAGTTGGTTAAGAAGTTAGTTTATGAGAGGACTTTGTCAGTCACTTATTTAAGTCTAGTCGAGTCGTGAGACAGAGAACTACTTAGAGCACTTACACACATACATACACACTTGTACATATTTGTAATATCTTATTAAATGTTAAATGTACCAGACGGTACTTAAGAATGATAATGTGATATGTGCTTTCAACACAATAATACTGTAAACGAGAGAAGTGATATTATTTTGATTACTGTGATTAATTTAATTTGATAATATACCTCTAGACTTAATAAATTTATTAAATTTTAATTTCTCTAGTTAGTAGCCTACCAGTTGTAATCCTGAAGCACTATTGAATAATACTGATTTCTAATGGATAATTGGACAAGTAAAAGGTAGATGGGATACAAGGAGAATAGAAGCATCAGGGAAGAGAGAGGTGAAGGTTTATAAACTAAAAGAGGAGGCAGTTAGGGTAAGATATAAACAGCTATTGGAGGATAGATGGGCAAATGAGAGCATAGGCAATGGGGTCGAAGAGGTATGGGGTAGGTTTAAAAATGTAGTGTTAGAGTGTTCAGCAGAAGTTTGTGGTTACAGGAAAGTGGGTGCGGGAGGGAAGAGGAGCGATTGGTGGAATGATGATGTAAAGAGAGTAGTAAGGGAGAAAAAGTTAGCATATGAGAAGTTTTTCAAAGTAGAAGTGATGCAAGGAGGGAAGAGTATATGGAGAAAAGAGAGAGGTTAAGAGAGTGGTGAAGCAATGTAAAAAGAGAGCAAATGAGAGAGTGGGTGAGATGTTATCAACAAATTTTGTTGAAAATAAGAAAAAGTTTTGGAGTGAGATTAACAAGAAAGGGAAGCATAGAGAACAAAATGGTTTTTCAGTTAAAATAGGGGGGAGGTTATTAAATGGAGAGTTAAGGTTTTGGGGAAAGATGGGGGGGAATATTTTGGGAATTTTTTAAATGTTGATAAAGATGGGGAAGCTGTGATTTGTGAAAGGGGCAAGGGGGAAAACACTTGCGGGAGTGGGAAGAGCCGTTGTGAGTGTGGAGGAAGTTCTGAGGCATAGGAAAAATAAAAGGGGGGTAAGGCAGCCGGGATTAAAGGGATAAAATAAAATTTTAAAAACAGGGGGGGATTAGTTTTGGAGGGTTGGTGCTTATTTAAAAATGTATGGAAGAGGGTAAGGTACCTAGGGTTGGCAGAGAGCATATATTTCCCTTTGAAAAGGCAAAGGGGAAAAAGAGATAAAAAATTTAAAGGGGGGAAAGTTTTTGAGTAACCTGGAAAAGTGTATGGTAGAGTTATTATTGAAAAATTTAAGAGTAAGATGGAGAATAGGATAGCGATGAAAAGGGGGCTTTAAAAAAGGGGGGGGGTGGTGACCAGGTGTTTACGGTGAAACAATAAGTGAACAGTTTTTTTTTTAGAAAAGGCAAAAGGGGTCTTTGTGATTTAGGTTTTGGAAAAGGGCTAGAGGGGGTGGATAGGGGGCAATGGGGCAGTTTGCAGGTGTAGGTGTGGGAGTAGGTTACTAAAAGAGTGAAGATTTTTTTTACGAGGATAGTGGGGCTAAAATTTTAGATATGTAGGAAAGGGGAAAAATTATTTCCCAGAAAAGTGGGCCTTAGAAAAGGGATGTGTGATTCACCGTGGTTGTTTAATTATTTTAGATGGGGTTGTAAGAGAAGTGAATGCGAGGGTCTTGGAAGGGAATGAGTTAAAAGATAAAAACCCACACACAAGGGGTTTTGTCAAGTTCTCTTTGCTATGAACTGTGCTCTTGGGAGATTCTGAAAAGAAGTTGCGAATTGGTGATAAATTTTTTTGGTAGGGTGTGCAAAGAAAAAAATTTAAAGTGAATACAGGAAAGAGAAAGGGTTTAGAGGAAACAAAAAGATTAGGTGATGAAAGTTTGGAAAAACAGATTGGGGGAGAGATTGGAGGAGGTGAAGTATTCAATTTTTTGGGAGTGGAGTTCGCGGTGGTTTTATGAAAGATGAAATGAATCATAGAATTTATGAGAGGAAAAGGGGGATGGTGCACTTAGGAGTCTGTGGGGGCAAGAACTTTGTCCTTGGAGGCAAAGAGGGAGAATTATGAGAGTATAGTTTTACAAAGCTCTTATTGGGTGTGAAGCAGGGTGTGAAGTTGCAGGGGAGAAGGCGGAGGCATGGAAGTATTCTGAGGGAATGTGTGGTGTGATATAATGCAGAAATTCGTAGTTTGGGGAAATTTTGGAGGAGGTGCGGGATTACCAAAAATGTTGTCCAGAGGGGTGAGGAAGCGTTGTTGAGGTGGGTTTTGGGCTGTAGAAGAAGGAGCGAAACAGAATGCTTCAAGAGTGTATCGTCTGTAGTGGAAGGAAGGCGGGGGGAGGGGGCGGGGTAGGAAAAGGGTTGGGGGGAGGGGGTAAAAGGGGGTTTTGTGTGCGAGGGGCTTGGACTTCCCGCAGGGTGCGTGAGCGGTTTATAGGAGGAATGGAGACAAATGGTTTTTTAATACTTGAGTGCTGTTGGAGTGGAGCAAAAGTAACATTTAAAGGGGTTCAGGGAAACCGCAGGCCGGACTTGATCCTGGGGATGGGAATACAGTGCCCACTCTGAAGGATGGGGTAAAATTTTGCAGTTTAAAAATTGTTGTTAAAGCACCCTTTGGGAAGACAGTGATGGAGGAATGATGGTGAAAGTTTTTCTTTTTTGGGCCACCCTGCCCCGGTGGGGAAACGGGAGGGGATAATAAAAAAAAAAATTGACAAGGATACTGACTACTTGTTATAAAAACCCGTACGGCGGATGCTAGAAAGGGGAAACCTTTCAGTTTCACTGGAGATTCAAGCTTTTTGAATCGCGTTTTTTTGTAACAAATGGGGGCCTGTCTGGGTGCTCTTTATTCAAGGTGTTGGAGAAATTTTGTCCATTTTGAAATACTAGTAACTGATGGTCAAACACTTTGAGTACTTTCCTAATCTGAAGACTTTGAGTTTAGTTTGTACACATACCAGGTGGATGTATGTACCTGACTGAGTCTCTTGACCCAAAGGGAGATGGAAAATACTATTTATAGTTCTAGCTCTAAGACAAACAACATTAAAATTCCTATTAGGATTATGTTTCCCATAATCATTTCTCGTAGTACAATTATTTGTGTTTTAATGCCAAAGTGAAACAGTTAATTGATACTCTGACTTTGTCTGAGTTAAGTACTTTAAAACTTCAGACGTGTTGGCGAGTAGCCAAATATCTCGGTGTGACGTTAACGGGAAAATACACCGCAGAAACTGTCAGAGCATTAATTAAAGATATATTGTTTCCTGCTCATACAGAGATGTCTGATTATGATTCAGATTCAGAAAGCCTAGTGTCACAATTAGGAAGTATGACTCTATTTAATGAAGAAGAAATAGCAACTATGGCAGAAGTGTCTGAGCCTAGTGAACCTCCGCTCACACCTTCCCTCCTTACTGACACAATAGTACAGAGTGTAGATGGTAGGATGACTCAGCCTAATACTAGCACAGTGGATGCTACACCAATATCTACTTATCCTAGACCAGATCTAGATTCTCTAGAGACGCCTGAACGAGGTGCCCGACCTAAGGACCGTCCAGAAAGACATGTTAATTTCCCTACTCCTCCATTACCTACTGGTCCTATCTCTCAGGAGCAGTTTGAGAGGTTAGAACGTCTCATTATGTTGCAGACTGCACAAATAGAGGCACAGAGGAAATTGAACGAAGAAGATTTCCAGAGAGAAAATGTTCGTCTGGGAAGACAACGGGACTGATAGATCACAGGACACATTTAATGTGCAGAAAGCTGCATCCATGGTTCCTAAGTTTTTGAGAGTGACTTGGGACACCTATTTTGATGTGTTGAAAACCCAGGCAC